TCTGGGGGAGGTGGCATGTCAACAACTGAAATTTGGAGCAAAGTACATTTTTGTTTTAAGCGCTTTATTATTTTTGTACTTTTTACACCAAAAAAAATGTCATCACCCGCCTGGCTACGATTAAGTCGTTTGAACAAATGTGTGCAATGGTAGAAAAAAATTGTGAGTCTGAAAACTGTAGATCCTGGGGGTACTTACATTTTTAAAAAAAAAGGGGTACTTTATAAAAAGGTTGAGAAACACTGGTCTATAGCATTAACCTATAAGCTTTTGCTTATTGGTAAGTCGACTACGCGATTACATCCCTAGTTCCAATCCCTTGGCCAACTGAAGAAAGCACAATCCACCTTTAGCAGGAAACCTGTAGGGCTGTGTTCCTACCAGCCACCCCACACACCCCTTACAATGCCCTTTGCACACAGAAAAGAGTTGGTCAGCATTTCAAGTTCAAATCCAAACAGTTTTTATGGACTCTGTACTCCCCGACTTCTGAATCAGCCTGGGACAAGTCACTAGATTCAGGGAGCCACTGAGAAGAGTCAAGTTACATTTTAATTCCTTTAAGGTTGCTGTAAAGAGCTCCCAATGCTTCCAAACCTGCCAGAATCCCATTGTGCACACACATGGGACTGGAAGGACGCCGGAAACGAGGCCAAAAAAGCCTGAAACGCACTCGCAGAAGCTCAGACGTATTTGTTCCAACTACACCCCGACATTCTGTGGGCTGAACAGGAATCGAACTCGGTTCCCGAGGACACTACCCAGCTTGTTGCCCCTTACATGCAACTGAGCCTAAAACCTCGGAAGCCGCTTGCTGCACTCCATCCTGGAGGGCCAGTATTTCAGTGCCAAGGCCGAATGGCACAGGAGGAGTCCTACACCACATGCTCTCCCCCACCTCCTACTGCACACGCATGGCTGAGGCAGAGAGAGAAGTGTCTACACTGCAAGCTGGGGCTGGGATGCCCAGCTCCAGAAGAAATACTTGTGCTAGCTCTGATCAAGCTACTGTGCTAAGAACAGTGTAGCAGCAGGAAGGGGGAGCTGCTCTGAGCAAGTGCCTAGGGCAGGGGTGGGCAATAACTCTTGGCCAGGGGCCACTTCAAAAATTTTTGAAGTGGTCCCGGACCGCCCGGAAGGGGCGGGGCCTAAACCAGAGGGGGCGGGGCCTAAACTAGAAGGGGTGGCCAGGCAGACCATGATTCGTCTGGGGGTGGGGGAGCCCCTTTGTCCCCCCTTCCCACAAGGCACCCAGGCTTTGCATGCTCCTCCACCCCCAGCGTGCGAAGCCTCCACCTGTCCTACGAGGAGTGCACGGCGCTGTGAAGTGCCACACGCTATGCTCTCCTTGCAGGGTGGGCGGAGGCTTCGCGCACCCCCTCGCCCCCAGACCAATCAGGGCACGGGGGCGGGGGAGCTACGCGAAGCTTCCTTTGCCCTGCCCCCACCCTGCCCGAGCATATGGCAGGGCGGGAGGGGGAAGGGCGGAGGAAACTTTGCACGCTCCTCCCACCCCCAGACCAATCAGGCTTGGGGAGCGCGTGATGTCTCCTCCCACCCTGCAAGGAGCATGCAATGCTTCAAAGTGCTCCATGCTCCTGGCAGGATGGGCAGAAGCTTCCCCTCTCCCCCCCCCCCCCCCCCCCCCCCCCGGGCCCTGCCGGGCGGGGGGACGGGGGGAGCAGCAGGGCCTCCATGGGCAGGATCAACCCGCTTGGCAGGCCGGATCCGGCCCGCGGGGGCCCTTTTGCCCACTCCTGGCCTAGTGCCTGCAGGCTCATGCCGCGAGCTGCTTGCACGGCTGCAGATACACTGTAGTGCACAAGCTTAGTCCACGTGTGTCCTTGATCGCCCAGCGTGACGTGCTGCCCTCCCCTGTATCACCCAGAGCAGAGCAGGGGACTGAAGGCAGGTTGCCAGGCCAGCATCTTACCCATCCGACCAGCCTTCCTCCTCCTGCTGCTGAACTGCCACCAGGAGACAAAGCCACGTGCTGGCTGCCCTGCACGTCCCCCTCAGGTCTGGCTGGAACCATGGTGAACACGCATGTGGAAATCCCACCCAGGATTGCCCCAGAACCGGGGAGCAAGGCAGGCGAGGTGGCCCAGGGAGGAGATGTGACTTGTCTGAAGATGCACGGTCTGCAAAGCTGGGCCTAGAACCCAGGAGGCCCAATTCCAGTCCCCCCGTGAGAGGCTCTCCCCCAGCCCAGCCTTGCAGAAGGGGACCTTGTAGCAAGGATGACGCTAGCAGCCCCACGCGAGAGCAGGATGGAGTGTGCAGGCAGCACAGCCACACGAATGGAAGTATGGGGCACATGGCATAGGGATGTAAGGGAGTAGCTGACTAGTCGACTATTCACATTCCCCCGCCTTGCTGCCTCTGTATTAATCATTCGAAAGCCAGCCCCACCCGCAGCGCCAGACCAAGGACTCCTTAGGAGGCTGCCCGCGGCCGCAGTCCAGAGGATGGGGAGCCAGGTGACAGGTGATTTAGGGCTTTTGCACTGAATCTTACTTACCATTACAGGGCTTGATCTTTCGCTCACATCACTGTGACACCCCCCTGCAAGGCACCTAATATGGCTGATTAGCCAGGGGCATCATGTGATGTTGCAATGTGCTCCAAGCCTGCTTTAACAAGAGGCAGTGTTGTTCACTGGTCAGAGCAGCCAGACAGCCTTCAGGGGTTGCTTCCCACCTCTACCCCTGAGTTACAACATGACCTAGGCAAAGTCACTTACCCTCCGCGTGGGCTCTGGCCCACCTATCAAAGAGAGATAACAGCCCAGGTCTTACATGACTATTGTGGGTCTTCAACACTGGGAGCTGGTAAAGAGCTTTTAAAACCTCAGATGAGCAAAGTGGGTGCTTCGAGAAGGGAAATTTGTCCTTTAGGGTCATGCATGCACCTGCAAAGGCCTCTACTGACCCCACAGATAGGTTGCAGGATCAGGCCTTTAGTGGGTGGCTGTCAAACCGCCTCTGCAAAAGCTACACCCTGCCTTCAGCCAGGAATGGGTTTCAGCAGCCTGGCTCTCGCTGCACCCGGGGATTCACTTCATAAAGCTCTGTGGTTAGAATTTCAACCCAGCCAGACGCAAGCACTGAAGAGGAGACAGGTGGTACCAGAGCCCTCTGGGGCCTGCAGGCAGGGGGTGGGGGGCTGGGCAGCTGCGCAGAGTAGACCCAAGCCGGATCAGCACCCAACGCCCCAGCAGAGCAGCAGTGTTCTGGGCCGAGCAGAGAAAGGAAACAGACTCACTTGCAGGCTGGGAGCAAAGCCCACACCTGTCAGGAAGCATCAGCGGCCCGGGATTCTCCCCAGCCTGTGGGAGAACTGAGACAGGCAGCTAGAGAAGGAATGGCTCCCAGGCCTGCGGGGGGGAGGGACACACAGGCTCTGTCTGCCAATTAGCTCTGCTGGCAGAGGCCTTCCACAGACACTCAGCAGAGGCCTGCAGAAGGGGAGGCAAAGCTGGTTACAACTGCCTGACCTACCCAGCGGCTGAGCTCTGCTTTCAGAGCCTGGCAACCGCAGCACCCAGAGGAAGTGAATGATAAACCGGCAGGGCCAGAGGGCCTGGATTCCACAGCCACTCAACACAGGTGACTCTTCCCAGCTCAGCCTGGGCCAAAGACACTCAGCACCTCTAGGTGCAGGCCCTGAGCAATGACAGCTCTGGAGCTGTCCCAATTTCTGGTTCACAGTGTGATCAGCAGAGAATGAGCTGGCTGCTCCTCAGGGGGGACACCAGCTCTTTAAAGTCCCACAGGCCATAGTGCATCAGACCACTGTCCACATAGGGCTGCTCTGACAGAGGCCAATATCACATGCTTCCAAAAAGCAAACTTTCTTCCCCCACATCCTCCCATCCCAGGAGGAAAAAATAGCCCGATTCTCTAGGTCTTATTTATAGATCCCCATGGTGGCAAGTGAGGTCTTTAATGAATGTACTATTCCCAGCTTTGCTGTCCGTGCAACTTTAAGCAAGTCACATCGCCTCGGTGTGTCTCAGTTTTTCCCTCTGTGAAATGGGTATAGTAATATTTCCTTTCTCCTCCCCCCCCCCCCCCCCACTTCTCCCCCACATTCCTACAAAGCATTTGAAGATCTAGAGGTGAAGAACTCTAGCAACTAACGGTGGATTTGCCCTTGAAATGGATTTTGACCCTCGGCAGCAGAGCAATAGCAAACTGCCATTTCTCCCTCTACATGTCTTCTTTGTACAACTGATGTCCAAATCCTTGCTAGTGGAGATTTCCTAAGATCTTATGTGTCATGCCATCCCTGCTCTTAGTATAGAATCCTATCTATATTCAGTCTCCCCCTGTGCCCATCAAGTTACACCCTGTTACTGATTTCACCCCACTACAACCCCTGGCTCACAACCTGCCACCCTGCACCCTCTTCAATTTAGTGCAGTTCAGTACAGGGCTCCACGGCCAGCTGCACAATGAGAGGCCTACCCTGAAGTGAGCTAACCCTCCCGCCCCCACTGAAGTCAATGGAAAGACACTTAGGCCAGGGCTGATCTGGGGTGAGTGCCTAGGGAACAGGGCTCATTTCCTTAATGCAAGAGATTTTCTATGGCCTGGGATCTCAGGGCTGGAGGTTCTGATGGGCAGGGATAGTTACTTGCATGAGCAGAAAAGAGGAAGGGGACAGCAGCTTTTTTTTGTGCGGTAAACTGGAGTCAAAGGGAAGTTGAGAAATACATAAGCCACCGTGCTGAGACTTATCAAGCCATTAACATTTATAAGGCATTTACATGTAAAAGACATGCCAGGTCTCAATGCACTGAAGTGGTCGGTTTCAATATTGTCACCCACCTCAGGGGCAGCAGGGTGCCTTGCCAGAAAGGCATGTTTGGCTCACACATGTCAACTGGGCTCGGCCTAGGCTACATACAAGTGACACCAGACCCGACACACGGCAGGTTTGAAAAGGGCAGACAGACAGGGGAAAGCACAGGGGTGACCAGGGGTCAGACACTTTACCGGCAGCCTTCCTGCAGAGGCAGATCGGATGGCTTTGATTTCAGGTCCATGAGGGGTGGCGTAGAGGCAGCTGCCCCTGGGTGGAGGGGCAGCAGCCACAGTCTGAGGGTACACCTGCATGAAGTAGCTGGCTGGGATGGAGTGCATCTGAGGGCTGCTGAGGCTGGAAGTCACCAAGTCTGCGGAGCTCATCACAGGCATGATTTTCTTTTGCTGCTGCTGCTGGGGAAGGCAGGCAATGGAGCAGCTCCCCCTTTCTGGGGCCGAAGACACACCCTTAGGTACTCTCAGCATTGCAAAGTCCTTTCCGAGAAGCCCAGCTGGCAGGGAAGAGAGGGCAGAAGCGCTGCACAGCTTTAAGGGGGGTGCTTAAAAACCAGGCTGCAGTGGAGACATGGAGGCTCGGCAGAGGGGCCTGAGGCTGCTCTTAGCATTGCTTAGCCATTTAAAACACTGCCTGGCACGCAGCAGCAGGGAATCCCCCCGGAATGTCCAGTCTGAGGCTGTCTTGCAAAAGAAAATCCAGCTGGGCTGTTTGCTACAATGCATTGGGGGCGAGGGGCGAAGTCACTAAGCCAGCCCCTGAACAAAAAGGACGGTTTCGGCTCTTTCTCCTCATTCAGAAAGCAAGCCCCCCACCCCAGCCCTTCTTCCTGGAAGATCCCTCCACCGAGCGGCCAGCACCGGCAGCTGGCTGGCTTCTGAAAGCCCACGCAATTAAAAGTTACGGGTTTTTTGTCTTCAGGGGCGCGGGGCTCTGCAGCGCTAAAACGCCAGCGAAGTGAGCCAAGCCCCAGCGGGCTGGAGCTTTGTTAACGTGCAGGTTATTGCCAGGGCGGGTGACCTCCAGCTCCGAGCGTGCAGATCAGCCCGCTGCCGCCCAGGCCTGTTGCATCCAGACGTGAAAGCCCACGCAATTAAAAGTTACGGGTTTTTTGTCTTCAGGGGCGCGGGGCTCTGCAGCGCTAAAACGCCAGCGAAGTGAGCCAAGCCCCAGCGGGCTGGAGCTTTGTTAACGTGCAGGTTATTGCCAGGGCGGGTGACCTCCAGCTCCGAGCGTGCAGATCAGCCCGCTGCCGCCCAGGCCTGTTGCATCCAGACGATGAAAAAGGAAATAGCAACGACCCCCCCAATCTCTGCTCCTTCTCCTTAGAGCCGCCGGGCGGGGGCTCTGAGCAGCATCGCGCCGGGGGAGCTGCGCCGCCAGCCTGGGCTCGGGATCCGGGCGAGGCCCTGCCACGGGCTTTCGGGGAGCTGCTCCCCCCTTGCAGAGGTGGCGCGGCTCCGCGCGGCGGGGCGAGGAAAGACGCGCGGAGCCGGAGGGCGGGCGGGGTCCGCTCTTAAAGGGGCAGCGCCAGGCGCACGCTCCCTGGCCTCGCCCCGCCCCCTCGGGCGTGGCAGCAGCGGGAAGGGGCGTGTCCCTGCAAACAGAACCAGGGAACTTCTGCCGCGCGAGCTGGGCTCTGACCAGCTGTCAGGCTAGGGGCGGGGGGAGGGGCAGGCAAAGGCTGCTCAGTGCCTGCACCCCGCTGGGATGTGCTGTGCTTGCAACAAAGCTCCGAGGCTGCAGCCAGCCAGCCAGAGAAAGCAAGGCAGTAGCCGGGCTTCATAATGGCCGTGGCAGCATTGCCCATGGCCCCTGATCTCCCAGGCAAATGCAGAGGTGCAGGGGCAGTTTGGAGAGTGGGGGCGTTGAGAGCCATTGAAACAAGCTGCGAAGCCAGGATATGAGGGAAAACCTTTCATGGTGGGCCTAGTACCAGCCCTTCTAGGCCAATGTGCCCTTTTGAGACTTTTGGGGGCAGGGACTGTCTTGCTTGTAGGCTTACACCCTCCCAACTGTGATCTCAGGAAACTATTGTAATACTGGTTGACAGTATTTATAACTAACCACGGTAGTTCTAGGCAAACTATGCAGTGGCCTAGAGTGGCCAATTTCTGGGCAGCTGCCTAAGGCATCCAGAGCAAATTTTGAGTGGCCAGTGCAACCTGCTGGCAGTCCCTTGCCACTTGCTCCAATTTGTCATGTGCTCTAGTCCAGTGTTTCTCAACCAGTGGTTCCAGAGAAATGGGGGGGGGAGGGAAGAGGAGGGAGGTATGTAAACACAACTGAAATTTGGAGAAAACAGAATTTTTGTTTTAAGTTTTACAGCATTTTATTATTTTTGTACTTTTTACACCCAAAAATGTAATCACCCGCCTGGCTACCATAAAGTTGTTTAAACAAATGTGTTGCAACGGTAGAAAAAATGTTTGTGTGTCTGAAAACTGCAGATAGTGGGGGTATTTATTTTGTTAAGGGGGTACTTTATTAAAAAATGGTTGAGAAACACTGCTCTAGTCACTAAATTGACCACTCTAGGCTGCTGCATAGTTTGCCTATAACCACAGTGGTTAGTTATAAATACTGCCAACCAGTATTACAATGGTTTCCTGAGATCACAGTTGGGATCAGGGTGTAAGCCTACAACACTTGCATGTTGGGACCATATTTCACCTAGGCAGGTGGATGCCTTGGAAAAGCTGAGCCGTCTGGCCACTGCCCTCTACTGGCTATAATGCAAAAAAATCTGCTCGTTTGAAGACATTTCACCCCTCACTGCCTGGCCAGAAGGCAAACATTTCAAACCCAGGTCACTAAATCTCGCCTCCTAAATCCTAAACAGAGGCCTGATTTGTAGAGGTCCCAGCCCTCAGAGACGTCAGGCTTCTGTCTAGGTGCCCATTATGACACATTTGGCCATAACCAGTGTGGTGAATAGAGAGTCTATTAATTCAAAGAGAAAAAGGCTTCCATGTTTTGCATCCCCTCCAGGAACCAGGCCAGTGTCTGAGCCATTCTCTCTCGGTCCGGGATCAAGCCAAACACCATCCTTCTCCCTCCCAGATGGGCAAGGGGAACGGATCACTTTGCCACCAGCAGCTAAATGTCCCAAGTTTCAGACTCTGGTCTCCTTCACTCCTGCCCAGATTGTAAGCAGAGCTTGTAGCTTTGGCCTGAACTACACCAAAAACTTGGATCGACATAATCACATCAGGGTTGTACCAAACTAAGTCCTCACGTAGACATTGCTGGAACAATGGAAAATTCATCCATTGGGCCTAGCTAACCACTCTCGGGGAGGTGGATTACCTACACCCAGAGCCGTGCTTAGGGTACAGCAAATCAGAACAACCACCCTAGGCCACAGACAGCCCCCCTACTAGAACTGCCCCCTCCCCCTAGTGCCTCGTGGCTCATCTCCTCCCCCTCCCTCCCAGCACCTAGTGCCCACTGTGGATCAGCTGTTTCACATCATCCGGAGGCCCTGGGGGGAGGGGAGGGGAGAGGAGCAAGGGTGCAGCTGCACCACACTCAAGGGAAGGGACATCTTTATGACTTCTGGTGCCCTACACAGCCCAAGCACCCGCAACCCCGATCCCCTGCTGGGAGGTTGTACTCAGGGCTGTGGAGGCAGGATCAGGGCAGGGAGGCTGGTGGGGGAACAGGCAGAAAGGGGAGCAGTGGAGTCCGCCGGAGCTGTGGGCCAGGAGGCAGAGTAGGGGTTTGGGGACTGGGGTTGCTGGTGCTAGTAGGTAGAACAAGGGGCCAGCGGATTGGGGCCACCAGAACCAGGGGGCACAGTCAGAGCCGGAGGATTTGGACACCTGGACTGGTAGACAGAGTTGGGGAGGGGATGGGTGATTCAGACGCCGGAGCCAGGAGATGGAACAGGTGTCCAAGGGGCAGAGGGTTTGGGCTGCTGGGGCGGCGGGGCAGAGCAGCCAGATCTGGAGTTTGCGTGTTGCATGGGCATAGGCTTGTTTTGTGTCTATTCACTGGTTTGCCCAGTGTAGTGCTACAGGACAAATGTGGAGATTTCCCTCCCCGCCAAATCTGGAAAGGCAGGTGGCTGGGGGGCGGGGGGGGGGGCTGGGTTCTGTGCTTTGTTAAACACTCCTGTGCACCTGCAAGTAGCTGGCTTGTCACAAACCAGCTCTACAAGCCAAATACTCAGAGAAGCCCTGGAATCCCAGTTCATCCACAAATTCAATTCACATGCTAATGGACTCAACCAACTTCCTCACACAACACATCTGCAAAGCGGGCAAGCAGATTGTCCGTCAGCTGCCCTGGGGCAGGAGGGATAAGGGGCGTCCTAACAGTAAGGTGGTGGGGTGGGTTCCCACCTGGCCTAGGGGCTCAGGCACCCATCTGGGGAGGACAGGGTCATGGATTCAAGTCCTGCCTCCCCCAGGCCAGGCCAGCCAAAAGCCAGGCAGCCCCAGGGCAGGAGGCATAAGGGGCTCCCTGACAGCAAGGTGATGGGGCAGGTTCCCATGTGGCTTGTCACACTCAACTTTTGTCAGGGGCTGGAGTGACCAATAGCTCTACTTTCCCATCCTCCTCAAACAACAAAAGGACCTGGCTGCAGTGCAATGATAGGGTGTGACTGCAGCTCATTTAGACAGATGTTAGCTAGATGAAAGCTAGTTTACATGAGCACCAGTAGCTGTGACGCTGTGGCTGAAACCCACCAGGGCCTGGGTAATTATTCACAGGGCTAGCCTGAAGCCCATGCTGCCACGGTTCTCCTCCTCCAGAACCCAAGCAGGTTAGATCAAGCCTGTGGTCACACCCTGTGACTGCAGCGTAGACATCCCTCCGGCTCAAACAGTGAACTAGGAACAGAGCAGCCACAGAAACACAGCTCAGGGTTCTTTATTACGATCGCTCACCCGAGATCCGCTCAAGCACGGTCGATACGACACACGCTCTTCTTGATGAGCATTAGTCTCAAATATGCCATGCTGACACCAGCTACTTTCCCCAGACCCTGCTCATTTCAACACCCTGCTCCCCAAGTGCATCCACTCCAGCAAACGCTGGGGCTGCCACAGCTGAAGCAGGGCAATCACCTTCTGCAGCCGGCATGGGGAGGGCTCTGGGTGGGAAACGCAAGTGTGAGATGGGGGCACCTCTTGGCTTTGGACAGTGAAATGATCCCACCCGGGGAGGCGTCAGCACTTCATCGGGTTGTCACTCACCATCGTGGGCAGCCGGGGCAGAGAACTTGAGGCAGGACTTGGTATGAACAGCGGAAAATGTCATCAGCCCTTTCCCACTCCCTGCGCAGGCTGTGCAAACTCGGCCTGGACTTCCCTGTAGCTGGCGGGAGAGTCTCCCGGAGACATCAGCTAGGACAACGTGAGAACACGTCTTCTGCTCCCCCCAGATTTAGACATCGTGTCCACTCTTTTCACTGCAAGGGAAGCCCCTTTTAGGTGCCCAGGGCAGCATTGCTTCATCCTGCTCCTCCTGCCGGGGGGGTTCTGTTCCCAATATACCCACCGGTGAAGTCTCCCAAGGCCTACACAGACACATGCCCGGGTGCTCTGGGGGAAAGGACGTGAGCTGATGCTCTGACCACAGACTCTGCGGCAACTCTTCTCTCTGATGTTCTTTGTTTGAAGGCACCAAACCACGAACCCTCTGGACATGGCATCCAAACCGCAGACAATCCAAACCACATCAGAGTCACCCAAACGGACCCAGCAAACATGGGCCACCTGGCATGGAGCCAAGCCACCTCCTCCTCCTGCCACTGCTCTCGTGCTGGCTGTCTCCACCGAGAAGCTGGTGTTTCATGGTGAGAGCTCCTTGGAGTGCTGAGCCCTGGGTCCCATGCGCTGTTCCAAAGACAGAAGCATCAAAGGAAGCATTGACACCGCCCGTCCACTCTCAGCTCCACGCTTTGTGGGAGATTCCCACTCGCAGCTCTGCAGTCCCAGTCCAGCCTGGCTACGGTGGGAGTGACTGGTTAAGAAGCGACTGGTGTCGGGCTTTCAGGAAAGCCATCCTCACTGCCCCCTTGTGGTATCCAGATGACGTAGCATCCTCGGGGTCAATCATGTTTGCCTGCCACAGGGAAAAGGAAAGAGGTTGATGAGCACAGGTCAGTTCTGTGCTGGCGCAGGAAACAGACCGCAGCCGCCTTTACCCCTCCGGTCTCTTGCCCTCCTCCATGGATCTCACGCTAGCAGGCAAAGGGGTCAAGGTACTTTCAATTGCAGGGGAAGGCAGTGGGAGCGGGAGGTGCACAGCACTGCACAGGGCGTGAAATTCGGTGCAGAGACAGCACTAGCTGTAGGCACCACTGACTTCCTTTAACAGCCACTGAGGACCTGGCCCCTGCACTGTACCTTCTCCAGAGTCATCAGTGTGGACAGGATATCTCCAGACCTCCCGGCAGCCACCTCGTTAGAAAGCAGGCCTTCGGAGATCGTGCTGTTCTGGACATTTCGCAGCACCCTCTCCTCCTCCTGTTCTTTATTGAACTCGATGGCCCTCACCTCCTTGACTATTCTGTGGGGACCAATCCGGGAAAAAGTTAGCGGTGTCTGCCACCGAGGACCTTCCTCCCCAGTTCTTCTCCCAGGAGTGTCTACACAGCAGTGTTGTTCCGGAAGAACAATGCGAGCATCTATACAGCAATTCTGTTATTTCAAAATAACGGACGGCTTATTCTGTAGACCTCATTCCACGAGGAATAATGCCTCTTCCGAAACTGCTATTTCGAAATAGCTATAGTGTGGATGCTCCACTGCTGCTATTTCAAAATAGCCCTTCCCCTGGGCCATTCAAAGTAACTACTCCCCAGTGCTTCCTGAGGCTCTAAATCGAGGTAGCGCATCCACATTAGGGGAGCCTGCCTCGGACTAATTCCAAGGCTTCCCTGTAGTGTAGAGGCGCAATTTTGAAATAAGATATTTTGGAGTATTTCTTCCAGAATAGCTTATTCCGAAGTGTAGAGTGTAGACGTACCCTCTGGCTACGTCTACACTGGCATGAATTTCCGAAAATGCTTTTAACGGAAGCAGGATGCTTTTCCGCAAAAGCACTTTTTGTGGAAAAGCGTCCGTGGCCAACCTAGACGCGGTTTTCTGCAAAAAAGCCCCGATCGCCATTTTCGCGATCGGGGCTTTTTTGCGGAAAACAATACTATGCTGCCTACACTGGCCCTTCCGCACAAAAGTCTTTCGGAAAAAGACTTTTGCCCAAACGGGAGCAGCATAGTATTTCCGGAAAAGCACTGATGATTTTACAGGAGATCGTCAGTGCTTTTCCGGAAATTCAAGCGGCCAGTGTAGATAGCTGGCAAGTTTTTCCGCAAAATCAGATGATTTTGCGGAAAATCTTGCCAGTCTAGACACAGCCACACAGTCCTGAGAACATCTGCATCTACCACCAAATAGGGATGTAAGTGACTAATCGAGTAGCCAACTACCCGATAAGCAAAAGCTTATTGGATAGCAGACAGACTAGTTGACTAGTCGCTTCTCCCCTCCATCCGCTCCCTCTATCAGAAAGAGGCAGCAAGGGGGGGGGAGAGGAAAGTATGCTGAGGGGGGGTATCCAGCTTAAAAGTTGGTTTCCCCCAGCTCCAGCTCTGTGGGAGGGGGCAGGAGCACACAGCAGCGGCGTTCCACCTTTGAAATGCACAAGAGTCCCTGCTGGGGCTCTTGTACATTTCAAAGGCAGAACGCCAGGTGGCACTTCTGCCTTTGAAAGGTAGCAACAGCCTGGCAGGCTCTTGCTACATTTCCAAGCAACAGCGCCCTTATCAACTAATCGAATAGTTGATGGAAATTCCGTCGACTATTCAATTAATTGATTAATCTAATTTTAACATCCCTATCACCAAACACACTCATCTCCAAGTCTCCACTTCAGGGCTTCCACTCCCAAGTGGTTTGGTCTTCCACTCTGCCATCCTCAAGGCAGCAGGAAGTGGGACCTTAAGATCACCCTTTTAGAGTCTCCTTCCCTAGGAAACGCCGCAGCCCTGTGCCCCAAACTCTCTTTCCTGGCCCCCAAGACAGTAAGTTTCAACCATTAAAGTAGTACAGGCTTGAACCACGGCCCACTGAAACTTCTGGGCAGCTTTCCACTGGGCTCTGGATCAGGCCACCTCCTTTCAAACTAGGCTCCCAGGCTAGACGCTGACGTCCTGTCCCCTCCATGTTATTGGCACCAAGAACTGTCACCCAAGGAGTTCTGCTCCCGAGGCTACAATCTCCCCTCATCAAGTACTGGTCCGCCTGAGATGCAGACGGCTCAGGAGTAGCAATGCAGCTCTGTGCCTCTGCCTGGCAGGTCTGCATTGACCCTAGGCTCGGAGTGACCGAAAAACGTGTTTCCCTGGGATGCTGCATGACAGGAGCTTGGTGGTCCTGGTCCAGGGTTTAGTGGCGAAAATGTCCAAAACAAAGAGCAATGTGCATTACGTGGGCCAGTGACGAGGCCTAGGACTGGATGGACCATGGAGGCTGAATTCCTTGAAGGTCGCTTCCCCCCTCCATCTGCTCCCTCTATCAGAAAGAGGCAGCAAGTGGGGGGGAGGGGAGGAAGGGATACTGGGAGGCGGGAATCTGGCTTAAAAGTTGGTTTCCCCCAGCTCCAGCTCTGTGGGAGGGGGCAGGGGCACAGCAGCAGCGTTCCACCCTTGCAATGCACAAGAGTCGCTGCTGGCAGAGAGCAGCCTGAGAAAGTTACTACATTCTTGCACCAAGCCGACAATAGCCCACACCCCAGTGCTGATAGCCCAGGGGTGGGCAAAAGAGCCTCGACTGCCTGGGTGCGACCCGCCAAGTGGTTTGATCCAACTGCTGCCCCGCCCCCAGGCCAATCAGCGGCAAGAGGAGCACACGACATCTCCTTCCGCCTTGCAAGGGGCTCAGCACTTAGGGTGTCTAACCTACATGGCTCCGTCGATGGAGCCATGTAGATTCGGCTGATCAGCAGAAAGAAATGAAGCCGCAATTTAAATAATAAAGCCGCGATTTAAATGTAAATGGCTGCCGCGCTGATCAGCTGTTTGTCGGCTCAGCGCGCTAGTCTGGACGCTCCCGCACCGTCCTGAAAGCCCTTTATCGACCTCCCCGTTATGCCTCGTAGGATGAGGTTTACCGGGGAGGTCGATAAAGGGCTTTCATGTCGGCAGGGGCGACTGCCCCGATCTGCCGACAAACAGCTGATCGGCAGGGCAGGGCAGCCATTTAAATTTAAATGAAGCTGCGATTATTTAAATCGCGGCTTCATTTCCCTTTGCCGAACAAACAAATCTACATGGCTCCGTCGATGGAGCCATGTAGTCTAGACGTACCCTTAGAGTTAAGCTCCAATTAACCTGGGGTCGGGAAGGAGCGCATGAAGTCTCCTCCCACTGCCACGGGCACAGGTGCCTAGAGGCAACCTCCGGCTGTTCTGAACACCTGGCGGTTCTCTCTGGGTGGGGTGGGGGCAAAGACTTCACGTGCTCCTCCACCCACAGACCAATCAGGATCTGTGGGCAGGGAAGCATGGAAGCGTCCTGGCTCTGCCCCTTCTGGGGTAGCCTGGGGCCACTTCAGAAATTTTTGAATTTCAGTCAAAAATTATTGCCCACCCCTGGCTTAGAGCCATAAACCCCACCCAACCACCCACAGGATCATGGGCTCAGCTCCCCCCGGGCACATGGACTCAGCTCCCCCCAGGTTTCCCTCTCTGGAGTATGGTGACTGCATCTGCCCTGTGTTGCTTTGACAAAGTGAAATATACCGGAGCTGACCCTACCCTGCCCACTGGGGAGACCCCAACTCAGCATAGGAGAGGGGGTGTGCATGGAAAGACCTACGCATTAAGCTCATTCCGGATCTCTTTGTATCTTTTCAGGTTCTCTTGGATGCCTTCCAAGACCAGACAGAAATCGTCACAGGTAGCTTCGGTGAGGTTGCCCAGGCTGCCGTAGCTCAGCGGCGTCTGGCGATTCGTCGTGGCGCTATCCTGGATCACTTCCTTCAAATGCACCAGGTTCAGCTCGGGAGACATGTCGTCACCCCCAACATCTGACTGAAGGAAAATAACACAAGAACGGCCACTCTGGGTCAGACTGAAGGCCCATCTAGCCCAGTCTAGTGCTCCAGAGCGAATGAGCAGAACAAGTGACCTATCCCCTGGCACCCATGGAATTTCCCAATAGAAAATGCCATTTCCCTAAAAATCAAAATTTCCCCCAGGAAAATGTCAATTTTGTTGTATTTTTAAATTTTGTCAGGAAAATCAAAACAAAATATTTTGTTCCAGGTTGGTACAACCCATAAGAACATAAGAATGGCCGTACTGGGTCAGACCAAAGGTCCTTCTAGCCCAGTAGCCTGTCTGCCGACAGTGGCCAGCACCAGGTGCCCCAGAGAGGGTGGACCGAAGACAATAATCAAGCGATTTGTCTCCTGCCATCTCTCTCCAGCCTCTGACAAACAGAGGGCAAGGACACCATTTCTATCCCCTGGCTAATAGCCTTTTATGGACCTAACCTCCATGAAATTATCTAGCTTCTCTTTAAACTCTATTATAGTCCTAGCCTTCACAGCCTCCTCTGGCAAGGAGTTCCACAGGTTGACTACACGCTGTGTGAAGAAGAACTTTCTTTTATTAGTTTTAAATCTGCTACCCATTAATTTCACTTGGTGTCCTCTAGTTCTTCTATTTAGGGAACTAATAAATAACTTTTCTTTATCGGCCCTCTCCACACCACTCATGATTTTATAGACCTCTATCATATCCCCCCTCAGTCTCCTCTTTTCTAAACTGAAAAATCCCAGTTGCTTTAACCTCTCCTCATATGGGACCCGTTCCAAACCCCTAATCATTTTAGTTGCCCTTTTCTGAACCCTTTCCAAGGCCAAATAACTTTTATGAGGTGAGGAGACCACATCTGTACACAGTATTCAAGATGTGGGCGTACCATAGTTTTATACAGGGGCAGTAAGATATTCTGTGTCTTATTTTCTATCCCTTTCCTAATAATTCCTAGCATCCTATTTGCCTTTTTGACTGTCGCTGCACACTGCGTGGAAGTTTTCAGAGAACTGTCCACGATAACTCCAAGATCTCTTTCCTGTTTTGTCATAGCCAAATTAGCCCCCATCATACTGTACGTATAGTTGGGGTTATTTTTCCCAATGTGCATTACTTTACACTTATCCACATTAAATTTCATTTGCCATTTTGTTGCCCAAATCAGAGTGTTTCATTTTATTGAATGAAATGATTCTTTTTTAATCAATTTCAACATTAAACGGTCCCTCCCTTTTGTGGCATATTCTCTCCAATGGACTGGGCTCACTGAAACAGCGTTGTGGAATATCACGGGAGTCATTCAGGCTCTGTCTGCACTGCAGGGTTTTTGCGCAAGAAGCTTTTTGCAGAAGAGATCTTCTGCAAAAGCTTCTTGCACAAAAGCGCATCCACACCTCAAAAGTGCATTGCAAAAGTGATGTGCTTTTGCGCAAGAGAGCGTCCACACTGCATGGACGCTCTTGCGCAAGAAAGCTCTGATGGCCATTCACAGAATGGCCATCAGAGCACTTGTGCTTTTTGTGATAGGCTCTTTTTGCGCAAGAAACCCCTGTTGAGCGTCAAAGTAGGAATAGAGATCCTCCGGAAAAGGGCTTTATTCCGGAGGATCGCGCCAGTCTAGATGCTTTTTTCCGGCTTTTCCCCAAGCCGGAAAAAAAGCGGCGGACAAGTTTATTTAAATCCCATGGGGGATATTTAAATCCCCTGCGGATTTCCCTATTCCCAAGTTCAAAATTAGCATGCCCCTTCTGAAGAAGGGGCCAGTGTAGACGTAGCCTTGTAGTATAGACATAGCCTCAGGATTTAGCTCCACCAGGAATCTGGTAGTGTAAACGTACCCTCAACCCTCTAAGACAGATCTTACATGGTATCAAAGGGGAGCCTAGACCTCCAACAGGAGTCTGTAATAGAACTGGACAAAAAAGGGGCTTCCTGGTCAGACTAAACCTCCCATGATGCACCACAGCCTCTCCTATTGGTGAGAAAAAGCAGTGCATCATTGTAATGGATAGGAGTGCTGGCCGGAATCTGGTGACTAAGGGGTTAAACTCAGGTAGCTGGCAAGGAGGTTGGCAAGGGACCTTGGAGAACCAATCAAGTTAGAGTACTGAAATTTGAATTGAATATAGATAGATACCTTGCCTGCTTTCTTTGTGTGGGAGAGCTACAGTAGGAATTGAGAGAGACAGAATGATTTAAACCCAGACGGGACTAGCATACCTCCAAGGAATTTAGGGCATGGAAGTGGACTGAACAAAGAGAAGATCATGAGTAAATAAAGGGGGGAAAGTGAATCTAGTCACAATCAGGTTATTTTTCTTATTTTTGTGGTTTAGTTTGAAATGCTGTGGGAATCTATGGGTGTGTCTAGACTACCGAGTTTTGTCGACAAAAGTGGAATTTTGTCGACAAAACTATACCAGCGTCTACACTACCGCTGAGTTCTGTTGACATAACGTCGACAGAACTCAGCAGTTTTGTCGATGCGGGTAAACCTCATTTTACGAGGCATAACACCTTCTGTCGACAGAGTTCTGTCGACAGAAGGTGTTATTGCCTGTAGGTTGCGTTCAGACTACGGGGTTCTGTCGACAAAGCAGCTTGCTTTGTCGACAGAACTCAATGTGTCTGGACGCTCTTTGTCGACGGAAGTTTTGTCGACAGATACTGTCGACAAAACTTCCGTCGACAAAACCCGGTAGTCTAGACGTACCCCAAGCCTCCCCTCCCCATTGACTATCTCAGAATTGTTCCCAGAGATTAAAATTGTGTTTGGATTTGTTTTCCTTAGTTGCTCTGTAACATCTGGCAGCCAAGTATGCTTTATCAAGTATATATTTTGTTTTGTAATAAAAATCACTTTAAGGTGATGATTTGATTCTTGTGTCCTGGAAAGTACAGGAGGTCTGTCTGTCTGCCTGTCTGTGTCTGCATGCCTCAGACTAAGAGGTCAGCTACCAGAGGCTGAAGCTTGTTTTTCTCTTTTCTTTTTTTTGGGGCAAAAGAGCTTGGGGAGAATTCAAGGGTTCACCCCTGGTTTTAGGGATAAAATCACTTGATGGCGGCAGCTACTCCCCTCCCCCAAAGTCAGTGAATCTGTGACTCTAGGGGAGTTTTTGTAACCAGTGCCCGCAGAGGCAGGGTCTATTTAAAGTCTTTGTGGGCCCCCACCTTCTGCACTTGAAGTGCCAGAGTGAGGAACGGCCCTGACAATCATGGAAGATGTAGTCTTGCTGCAGATCCCAATCCATGGAAATGAATGAGCACATACAGCAACTGGACTACAACTCCCATGAGGCCCCGTGGCAGCATTTCCAAATGTTGATTTTTAGACATTTGGGTTTTGGGTCTGTAAGTCACCCCGTCGGGCCGGATCTTGAGGTTCTTCTCCATCAGTGTTCACACTGTCCTTGTTCAGGTGTAACTCCTAGGGTGTGTCTAGACTACAGGGTTTTGTCGACAAAAGTGGACTTTTGTCGACAAAACTAACCCTGCATCTACACTACCACTGAGTTCTGTCGACGTAACATCGACAGAACTCAGTAGTTTTGTCGACGCTGGTAAACCTCATTTTACGAGGAATAACGCCTTTTGTTGACAGAGTTCTGTTGACAGAAGGCATTATTGCATCTAAACTGTCCTTTGTGTCCACACTGTCATGTCGACAAAGCGGCTTGTTTTGTTGACAGAACTAGATGTAGTCTAGATGCTCTTTGTCGACAGAAGCTTTGTCGACAGTATCTATCAACAAAACTTCTGTCGACAAAACCCTGTAGTCTAGATATACCCCTAGTGTGAGCCAAAGCATCAGGATACAGCCCTCCCAATGGCTGTGCCAGGCACTCACCTCCCAGTCCGCATACTTGTCAGGGTGGAGGAGCTGGTCTCTTTTCTGCTTCTCCTCAGTGTAGGCAACCATTGTCTGCTCCAGGTTGGACGTCAGCACGGCCACCAGCAGGTTGGTGCAGATGAAGGCCCCGCCCGTGATGAAGATGAAAAAGTAAAGGCTTCCCCCTATTTTCATGGTAATTCCTTCATCCCTGGGAGGGACAGAAGGAATCAATTCATGGGGATAAGCAACAGGGAGACTCGGCAAGAGTTTCTATAAAGCCATCAGAGACCTATGCAGAGGTGAGCCCTGCCAATTCGCCCTCCGAGTGACAAATTGGGGGAAGGAGAGCAGTGCTGCCAACAGGGGAAACCTCCCCAATTTCCCTTTCACCCCCCATGTGGAAGGAAAAGCAGCTGCTGTTGCCATCCGAGGCCCCAAGTGTGGGGTCAGACTTCTCACTTTTGCCCAAATATCAGGCAATATCACAGTGAAAGACCCTCTTAAATTGGCTTGAAATATTTCCAACAGAAAAGGTTTGATCGCAGAGTTTGATTGCTTGTGTCTACGGAACAATCCACGGCCGTGGGTCACCAGCAGAGCAGACCCAGATCTTTAGCATGAATGGCATCGTTTCTACTGCCAGAGCTCAGGAAGGAAAGTTGGGAGGTGGTAGTTGGAGGAGGCTCTTCTCCTCTGAGGTGGAATAAGACCCACCCTCCCCTTCCTAGCATAGGCTACATCGCCTGATTGTGGGTGTGGCTGGGTGGGCACATGTTCGCTGTCTCTGGGTGTGTTTGTGCGTTGCAGGGAGGAGCGTGGCGCTGTTCGGTTGTGCCTGTGGCAATGGGGGAGCACTCCTATGGTGAGCTACAGCAGGCTGAGGGAGGGGCTTGTTGCCCTATGCTGGAGGTGGGGGGAGTATCAGAAACCCAATCGGTTCACTCACACAAAGCTCTGGTAAATGTTCAGCCACCCGTCCTGCGTGAGGCAGATGAAGAGCGAATACAAAGCCACCCCTAGATTTCCAAAGTACATCGGGACCAGATTTCCAAAGAACGTCACGCCGAACACAGAGAAAACCTGCAGAGAGACAGCGCTGGCCGGAAGCTCTGGCCAGCTCCCACCCAAAACCCACAGTCAGCCTCGGCCAGCTAATACAAGCAGCCATGTCCCCCCAAATCAACCATAAAACAAACCCCTCATAGGCTAGGGCTCGGAAGCAGGGGGGCACTTCCGGAACTAGGTTCTTCTCTCTCTTCTTGGATTCCAGGCTTGAGCTAGGAGGAGCCCCATCCAGCCGGTATCTTGCTCTAACAATCCCTGGTAGAGACCAAAGGCCGCTCAAAGAGATCCCAAAAGAGCACTCCCATTTACTCCTCTGGATTAGGGGGAAGGCTCTTTATGCCATTCACAAAGGGTACGTCTACACAGCAGCGTTATTTTGGAATAATACCCATTATTCCACGAGGAGTACAGCTAGTTCGGATTAGGAAGCCTAATCCGAACTAGCTACTCCGTGCCGCGTGTAGCCGCGCGGCACGGGGTTCGAACTAGCCGGCATTTAAAAATGGCGCCGGCCGGCTTCATGCAAATGAAGCCCAGGAAATTCAAATCCCGGGCTTCATTTGCAATTGCGGATGACTACATTACCCCCGCCAGTTCGAACTAGCGGGGTAGTGTGGACATACCCTTAGCTATTTCGGAACAGCCGCAGTGTGGACACTCCACTGTTGCAATTTTTGAAATAGCTCCTCCAGGCCATTCAAAGTAATTACTCCCCAGTGCTTCCTGGGGCTCCAAATCGAGCTGGTGCATCCACATTAGGGACTAATGCCTCGGACTAATGTCCAGGCTTCCCTGCAGTGTAGATGCACTATTTCAGAGTATTGCTTCTGGAATAGCTTCTTCCAAAATAATCGTGCAGTGTAGACATAGCCAAACAGGCCAGCTCCCACCTCTGTTTGAGCACCCCTTCTGGGAGGTCGGCTGCTTTCCAGCCAGAAGGGCCATTGAGGAGAAAGGAAACAGGAGGAAGGGAAGAAGGAGGAGGTGAAGAGGGCAGGCAGAAGACAAGACAGGAGAAGGGCAGGGGAAAGGGGAGGGAGAACTCCTGTTCTATACCAGGCAACACCGCCCCACCCAAAGGGCTCGACTGTCTCACCAGCATGATGGTAAAGAGCAGGACCATGATGTTGGCCATGTCTGGGATGGATTTGAGGATCACTCGGATCATCCTGGCCAGCCCCTCGACCAGCGTGCAGATTTGCATCAGCCTCATCACCCTGGGAGGAGACAGGAGTGGTGAGCAGCGTGTGCTGGGCAAGAGATGGTGTGAGGCCCATGTGACTCAGAAGAAAAACTGTTAGAATCTTTTGGGGCTGCCAGATTCCAAGCAGCTGCCCCGTCTGCTCGGCCCAGCCAGAAGATCACAGCTCAAGCCAGGAGCGTCCTCTTGGAGTGAGAGGAGACGCCGGCTAGCCAGGATTTCTCGGGTCCACGCCAGTGTTCCCTCTAACATTTTCTATCCTTGGGCGAGTTGATTTTTCTTATGGGCGGGTTGAAATTTTTTATGTGCACCTAGTGTGTAGGAGGCCGTGCACCACCTATACAAACAAAAGACACCCACATGATTTTAAATCATATGTGTGTTAGAAAATATATTGAACGAGGGATATTTAGCAAGGAGCAATGCATACGATATTTAATATGAAATCAAATAAAAAAGAAAATGTACACTACACCCCTGGAGAGTACATGTATCAACCTTTCTAACAGCTCAAGCTAGTACATGCTACATCTAATTCATAAGAGCCAGAACTCTGCCAAATAGCAAAGATCTGGCCCTAATGCCATACATGGTGGCTACGTCTACACTGGCCCCTTTTCCGGAAGGGGCATGTAAATTTCATGAGTCGTCGTAGGGAAATCCGCGGGGGATTTAAATATCCCCCGCGGTATTTAAATAAAAATGTCCGCCGCTTTTTTCCGGCTTTTAAAAAAGCCGGAAAAGAGCGTCTACACTGGCCCCGATCCTCCGGAAAAAGCGCCCTTTTCCGGAGGCTCTTATTCCTACTTCGAAGTTACCATGTATTAATTAGTAGCAACTTTTTTTTTACAAATCAGTTCAGCGTGTTAGATCTGCAACACTCCCAAAACATGCTGATAAAAGAATCTTTTTCTCTCTTAAGCCTTTAACACCTCATGCAAACTTTGTTTGAAATGCCATCGTGCAAATGTCCAGGTGCACACACACGCCCCATGCAGCCTGCTCTACCCCCGCCTCCACCCAGTCAGACAGAGAGGACTGCAGCTAGTCAGATCCCCCAAACAAACTGCCCCCACCTCACTGCACAGATGCCAGCACCCGCCCCCCACCCACCCTTTCCCCCACCTACCCCATGCAGTCAGCCCCTTATCTCCCCCTTCCCAGGAGGCTTGAGAGTGCTGAGTTTCTGCCTCTCTCTCCTCCTGCAGAGGGATGCTGGAATCTCCCCTCCCCTATGACGCCTCATCAACCAGCTACTTCCTTCCTTCCTTCCTTCCTTCCTTCCTTCCTTCCTTCCTCTCCATCCCTCCAGCCACTAATCCTCCTTATCTCCCTTTTTGCACCTCTCAGAGCTCCTCAGTTCAAGCAGGCAGCTAGCTCCCTTTAGCTCAGGAGTGGACAATATTTTTGGCTCGGGGGCCACCCCGGAAGGGGTGGGGCCTAAATGGGAAGGGGCAGGGCTACCCCACCCCCAGACCATGATTGGTCTGGGGGTGAGGGAGCCCCTTTGTCCCCCCCCTTCCCACTAGGCACCCATGCCCTGGAAGAGGCTTGGCACGCTCCCCCACCTCTAGGCCAAACAGTTTTCAGCTGTTTACACTGGCCCTTTTGTGCAAAAGCATTTCCGGAAAAGGGCTTTTGCACAAATGGGAACGTCAAAGCATTTGTGCAAGAAGCACTGATTTCGGACAGTAGAACGTCAGTGTTTTTGCGCAAAATCAAGCGGCCAGTGTAGACAGCTGGCAAGTTTTTCCACAAAAGTTTTTCTTTTGCGGAAAAACTTGCCAGTCTAGACGCAGCCAATGAAGTTTGTGAAGTGAAGAAACATTTCCCCTCTACCCCGATTGGGTCAGTTGAAAACTTTCTTTCTCCAGTATTTTTGAAACATTTGGTTTTGATTTCAACCTTCTTTTCACCTTCGCTCTCTTTAAACATTTTTTCAGACTAATAAGCTTAAATTCTGAAATACTGTTCTGAACCAGAAAACTGTTTGAAAACATTGAGATGAAACATTCCCACAATTCTGAAATGTTTCTCCACATTTGGTCAAGTCAGGAAATGCGCCAAACCCAATCCTGTTCTGCAAACTGTTTCCGTCTTGACAAATCGGCATTTTTCACCTTTTCAAAAACAATTTGTTGAACAAGTCCCAACCAGCAATACATTCAGAAGCTCAAAGTTCCACCACCGACTGGGCACCTCATCCCAAAAAAAGGTATATTGGAATTTGAAAAGGTAAATAATTAGCAGTATACAATGGCTGCCATATGAGGAGAGATTAATAAAACTGTGACTTCTCAGCTTGGAAAAGAGATGACAAAAGGAGGATATGATGGAGGTCTATAAAATCATAACTGCTGTGGGGAAAGTAAATAAAGAAGAATTATTTGCTCCTTTCAATAACACAAGAACTAGGGGGCACCAAATGAAATTAATAGGTAGCAGGTTTAAAACAAACAAAAAGAAGTATTTCTTCACACAACACACAGTCAATCTGTGGAACTCCCTGCCAGAGGATGTTGTGAAGGCCAAGACTATAACAGGGTTCAGAAAAGAACTAGATACATTCATGGTATCTATTAGCCAGGATGGGAAGTGATGGTGTCTCTTCCCTCTATTTGTTAGAGGTTGGAAATGGGTGACAGGAGGTAAATCACTTGGTGATTCCCTGTTTTGTTCATTCCCTCTGGAGCACCTGGCATTGGCCACTGTCAGAAGACAGGATGCTGAGCTAGATGGATCTTTGGTCTGACCCAATATGGCCATTCTTATGTTCGTTACCCTCCTATCTTTTGTCTGACTTATTTCAACTGTAAGATCTTTGGGGCAGAGACTGTCTCTTACTAGAATATGTCAGAGATGTGGCTGCAGCATAGTAAACATCCATGAGCTAGCTTTGATTTAGCTACCTTACAAAACAGCAGTGGAGTGGCACCAGCACAAGTGATAGCATGGGCTGACCATTTGATTACACCTCCTGAGTTGCATTGTGCAATCCCTGCGGCTGCTGTATCATTGCTATTGTTACTGGAGGTGGCGAGATCAAATCTAGCCAGGGTATGTCAGTCAAGGCAGGTATATCAGGTGTAGTATACACCAGGTTCACAGGTACTATGACAAGGTCGAATTAAGATACGCAACTTCAGCTATGTTAATTGCATAGCTGAAGTCAAAGTGCCTTAACTTGGCTTTTGGCGCTGTTCACACTGCAGGAAGTCAAAGGGAGAACACTCTCCCTTCGACTTCCCTTACTCCTTGTGGAAGCAGGACTACTGGCAACGACCAGAGCTCCCCTCTCAGTTCGAATTAGCTATCTTCACTAGGCCCACTAATTCAAATCCTGGAAGATCAACAGTGGCAGACTCGAGCTTCTCTGTAGCATAGACATACCCAGAATGAGTATATGTGTTGGGCAGTTAGGTTAAGTATTCTGCTTTTCCCACAATTCTGTTCACCCATAGGGTTGCCAGATGGTTTAACCAAAAATACCGAACCCCTCCCCCCCCCCAAAAAAAAATACCGGGGAAAAATTCTGTTGGGGGGGTGGGAGCAGGGGGTAGACCAAGGTTGTTAAGAAAAAGAAAAAAGGACGCCAAGAGTTATTAAGCAAAAAAAATAAATAAATACAATAAAACAGCATTAAAACAGCATGGCCCCTTTAAGTGCATGCAGAGTCAGAACAGGGATAGCAAGAATGGAGAGGTTGAGCACTAAGACCCAGGGAAGGTATTGCTTCCCCTTGCTTCAGTTCTTTAGGCTTTTTGCGGGCGGCCATTTTGTTTTCTTGACGGAGCCAGAACTCAGCTTCCCTGTGGAACCAGGAAAGCGGGGAGTCCGGGGGCAGCGATACCGGGGGGAGGCCCAGTTGCTGAGTGTGTTGTAGGGTTGCCAGGTGTCCGGTATTTTTGCCTCCTGGCTGGGAAAAAAATCAGAAAATACGGGACATTTCAGGTGTCCAGTATTTTCTGAATTTTTTACTGGACAGGAGGTGAAAATATCGGACTGTCCTGGTCAATATCAGACACCTGGCAACCCTAGTAGTCAAACAATTGGGTGCACCATTGAATCAATAGGAACAGCTACGTGTGCTGCAGCTACACCGCTAATTGCAGTGTAGGCGCACTCGATGAATACTTGCAGCACCTAGCACAACAGGGCCCTGACTTTTGTTTTATCAAGATCCTGTCAATGAACAAATCAGAACAGCAAGTTTTAGTCCGACCTGTGGACTTGAAAATCCTACCTGACAACTCGAAAAATCTTTTGGTTGTTCAGCACAGGGATGAAAGGCCCCACGCAGAGATACACCACGATACAAAAATTGACAACGTTCCAACCGTCCTGCAGGAAGAGAAAACCCCACCCTGAGGAACAGAGGATGAGCTTTCGGAGCAGGGCTGCTCAGTACAGGACCTAGGGACAATGACACTGTAAGCTGGGGGCAGGGACTGTATTTTTGCCAGCACTTAGCACAATGGGGCTGTAATCTCAGCTTGGGGCGTCTAGGTGCTATCGTAATTCATATAATACATGGTCATCATCAGGGCTTGACAAACTGTGGCGAAATCTACTCGCCAGCCCCGCACTGTGCATGTGCCAGACCCACACTGCGCATGTGCGCGCCGCCAGTGAACGGGGCGACCGGCTGAAATCTACTTGCCACGAGCTAGTAGATTCACTGATTTGTCCAGCCCTGGTCATCATGGAGGAGGTGCCTTTCAGCTTGAAACCGGCCACGTCCTCAGCAGGTGTGAATCAGCATCACTCTATTGAAATCAGTCTTACACCAGCAGAGGATATGGCCCATCCAGTCAGATTTCAGAGATGATTTTACCACTCACCACAAGATCAAGAGTGTGAAAGGTTCTGTGTTCTATACCAAGCCCAGCTGGACAAGACTCTCACTGTGGCTTCAGTTTCCCCAGCCATTACATTGATCCTTTTTTCAGTGTTCTCAGCTATGATGGGTAAAAAATATGTAGAACCAAATTCTCTGCTGTCTTACACATGCTAAGAGTCCTGTCTGTCAGTGCAAAGTGGATATGAGACACCACTGACTCAGAGTGGTCTGGCTGCCACACCTGCTTTGCAATGCAGAATCGGGCCCTAGGTAAGTATATTTCTAGTTTTCAAACCTGGACTAGTTTTGCTCCTTTTGAAGCCAATTCTGTTCCAGGATGCTCTTGGCACGGCCCATAGACATTATTCATGGTTCCGCATGGATCTGAATAGCCTGTCAAGCAGGCTTTTAGTCATTTAACTCTTAAAATCAATGGCAACATTCACGGGACTTTAAGAGAAGGGGGAGCAAGCCCTTAATCTGTATTAGTTCTATTGCAAAGCATCTGAAATATATGCTCCCTTATATGATCAAGTAATGATATTGCATTTACTTAGTGCTTATATTGTTCCTTTCATCCCAAAACATAACTAAACCAAACAAACCCCCTCTGAAGTAGGTAAGGGTTAATAGACAGGGAAACTGAGTCACAGAAAGACAAACTATCTTGTCCAAGGTCTTAGCGATTCAATAACCAAGAATCGAACCCAGGAATCCTAACTCCTGATTTGCTCCTTTAGCATCTGGACCGGGGTGGGCAAATATTGGCCAATGGGAGCTGCAGGAAGTGGTGGCCCAGTCCAAGTCACTTCTGCATCTCCCGTTGGCCGGGAGCAGTGCTGCATGGCCAACAGGAGCTGCTATCACTGGTTCCCGCGGAGGCATAGGTAAATACACCGCTGGCGGCCCACTGGTGTTAAAACAGCAGAAAATCACCAGGGTTAGCTTCTGGTGGGCCACCAGTGGTATATTAACCTGTGCCTCTGCGGGTATCAGCGATGGCAGCTCCCATTGGCCACGAAGTGCTGCTCCCGGCCAATGGGAGATGCAGGAAGTGGCTTGGACCGGAACATTGCTTCTTCCTGCATCTCCCATTGGCTGGGAGCAGCACTCCATAGCCAATGAGAGTTGTGATCGCTGGTACCCGCAGAGGCACAGGTTAATATACCATCGTGGCCAATGGGAGCTGCCATCGCTGATACCCGCAGAGGCACAGGTTAATATACCACTGGTGGCCCACCAGAGGCTAACCCTGGTGATGTGCTGCCGTTTTAATGCCAGTGGGCTGCCAGCGGTGTATTTACCTATGCCTCCACAGGTACCAGCGATAGCAGCTCCTGTTGGCCATGCAGCACTGCTCCTGGCCAATGGGAAATGCAGGAAGTGGCTTGGACCGGGACACTGCTTCCCACAGTTCCCATTGGCCAGTATTTACTCACTCCAGTCTAAACAGCATGTCCCCTGCTTTGGATACTTTGATTGACACATATGATCCAATTAAATACAGGATGATGAGATGCCTATGACCTGTGCAGAGCCTGGCATGGCAGCGAGAATAAGAGGTACAATCCAAGAAACAGCATTGTAGGCTTTGGAGAGGAGCAAGGGGAAGAGTTGCACTGGGACCCTGATCATGGGAATGGGGTAATAGCATAACAAGAATGGCCCAAGCAATATTGGATCTGAACAGCCAGACTCAGCACTCACCTTCCAGTACATCCAGAATCCATAGTACCAGTTGAGCAGCACCTCACAGGTAAGGACAGTCAGGACAATGTTATCTATGGCAGAGAACAACCCATAGAATTTCTACAATAGAAAATAGAAGAAAAACCAAACTCGACAGTGTCCCCGGGGGACTTTGCTCCCATCCTGTTCACGCTGCATCGCTGTTCCAGTGCCATCAGCACCAAAGTCAGTCCTCGCTCGAGGTGAGATGGAGGCTTCAGTTCAGCAAAGCGCTTAGGGGTGTGTTTGCATTCAGTGGGGTTTGCGCACATGCTTAAAGTGCAGCCCACACGTCAGTGGAATAGAGAGACCAGAGTAACCTAGACACATTGGAGAGTTGGGCCAAAAGAAATCTCATGAGGTTCCACAAGGACAGTGCAGAGTCCTGCACTTGGGATGGAAGAATCCCAAGCATTGTTACAGGCTGGGGACAGACTGGCTCAGTAGCAGTTTGGCAGAAAAGGACCTGGGGATTGCAATGGATGACAGTGTGAGACAAGAGTGTGCCCCTGTAGCCAAGAAGGCTAATGGCATATTGGGGTGCATTAGGATGACGCTGCCAGCAGATGTAGGGGACTGGTGAGGCCACATCTGGAGTATTGTGTCCAATTCTGGGTCCCCCATTACAGAAAGGATGTGGACGCATTGGAGAGAGTCCAATGGTGGGCAACCAAAATGATTAGGGAGCTGGAGCACATGACTTATGAGGAGAGGCTGAGGGATTCCGGCTTGTTTAGTCTGCAGAAGAGAAGAGTGAGGGGGGATTTGATAGCAGCCTTCAATTTCCTAGAGGAAGGTTCCAAAGAGGATGGAGAGAGGCTGTTTTCAGTGGTGACAGATGGCAGAACAAGGAGCAATGGTCTCAAGTTGCAGAGGGGGAGGTCTAGGTTGGATATTAGGAAAAACGATTTCCCTAGGAGGGTGGGGAAGCACTGGGATGGGTTCCCTAGGGAAGTTGTGGAATCTCCATCCCTAGAGGTATTTAAGTCCTGGCTTGACAAAGCCCTGGCTGGGATGATTTAGTTAGGACTGGTCTTGCTTGTAGCAGGGGGTTGGACTCGATGACTCCTGAGGTCTATTCAAGGCCTAGGATTCTAGGATTCTATGACTTACGTGCGTAAGTGGTTGGCTGAATCAGGGGAAGGAGGAGAGATATGGACAGAGGGGTGGGGATAACGGACAGAAGTATAATGGAGAGACAAGGAAAAGTGCTGCAGTCAATTGAAGAAAAGTAATAGTAAAAGGAGAGGGAAAAAAATTAAAGGGAGGGAAAGCCTCTGGGGATAGAAAAGGCAACGGATTCGTTTAAAAAAAAGAAGCCAGAAAAAGAGAAAGCAGGTCAAAACAACTGTTCCCAGAAAGTGGTTAGCAGGGGTTCTTATCAGGGGGAGACCTGCAGGGATCAGTTCTGGGTCTGTTCGGTATTTTCATCAGTGATTTAGGTAATGGCAGAGACAGCACACTTACAAAGCATGCAGATGATACCAAGCTGGGAGGGGTTGCCAAGTGCTTTGAAGTCCAACCCCCTACTAAAAGCAAGACCAATCCTAACTAAATCATCCCAGCCAGGGCTTTGTCAAGCCAGGACTTAAAAACCTCTAGGGATAGCGATTCCACCACCTCTCTAGGGAACCCATCCCAGTGCTTCACCATCCTCCTAGGGAAATAGTTTTTCCTAATATTCAACCTAGACCTCCCCCATTGCAACCTGAGACCATTTCTCCTTGTTCTGCCATCTGTCACTACTGAGAACAGCCTCTCTCCATCCTCTTTGGAACCTCCCTTCAGTAAGTTGAAGGCTGCTATCAAATCCCCCCTCACTCTTCTCTCCTGCAGACTAAATAAGCCCAAATCCCTCAGTCTATCTTTGTAGGTCATATGCTCCAACCCCCTAATCATTTTGGTTGCCATCTGCTGGACCCTCTCCAATGTGTCCACATCCTTTCTGTATGGGGGCCCCAGAACTGGACGCAATACTCCAGATGTGGCCATGCCAGTGCTGAATAAAGAGGAATAATCACTTCTCTAGATCTGCCTGAAATTCTCCTCCTAATACACCCCAATATGCCATTAGCTTTATTGGCTACAAGGACACACTGTTGACTCATACCTAGTTTCTCATCCACTGTAATCCCCAGGTCCTTTTCTGCTGAACTGCTACTTAGCCAGTTGCTCTGTAACATCTAGCAACCAAATATGCTTTATCAAGTATATCTTTTGTTTTGTAATAAAAATCATTTTTAAGGTGATGATTTGATTCTTGTGTCCTGGAAAGTACAGGAGGTTTGTCCGTCTGTGTGTCTGCCTGCCACAGACGAAGAGGTCAGCTACAGCTTGTTTTTCTCAAGCTCTTTTGGGGCAAAAGAGCTTGGGATACCTCTGGGGGAGAATTCAAGTGTTCGCCCCCAATTTTAGAGATAAAATCACTTGATGGTGGCAGCAACCCCTCTCAAAGTCAGTGAGTCTGTGACTATGGGGGAGTTTTTGTGACCAGAGCCAGTAGAGGCAAGGTACAGTAAAACACCATTAGTCCAGCATCCAATGCTCCGGGACTCCTGATGGTCCGGCACCATCAGGAACCCGGAAGTGTTGGGGCAGCCGGACAGGCTTCCCCCATTCAGCTGCTGCTGAAACTGACCAGCAGCTGAATCTGGGAAGCTGGGAGCAGAGCAGCTGGGGTGTTGCAGGGTTGGTCTCGTAGCGCTGCCCCTCGGGGCTGCGGGACCAACCCGGCAGCAC